ACATACATACATACATACATACATACATACATACATACATACATACACACATACATACATACATACATACATACATCTGGGTAGGACACCGGCCCCAGGCGAAAAATATTAGCAAGTTCATGGGCTTGGGAGATTCATTAGGCGCAACCTGATATATATATATATATATGTGCGTGTGTCAATACATATTTTATACATACATAATACATATGCACCTCACCACATCATTATATATATTATATATATATATAGTTGGCAGCGATCGCTGGCGGCAGGGCAGCCGCTGCGCCATGTACCTGCCCAGTGGGCAACATGCAAAGACTGATGCTGCATGCGTGTGTGACAAAAAATGCTGACTCCATCAGCATCTATCTCTTTCTGACTCTCTCTGTTCTTTTCTCTCTCTCTCTCTCTCTCCCTCTCTGCTTGCTCGCGGTCTTTGTCTTCTGTCTCCCTCTTTCTCTGCCTCTGTTTCCTTTCTTTCTTTTCTGTTCATGTCCTTTCCTTTCTTTCTTTCCTTCCTCTTGTTCTTTCGTTAATTCTGTTTTCTTAGGTACTTTTCTGTTTCTTTACCCTTTCTTGCCTTCTGTCCTTTCTTTCTTGCCTTGTCTGGTCTTTCTTTTCCTTGCTTTCTTTCCAAACCAAACATGCCTTGTCTTTTCTGATCTTTGCCTCTTGCTTTCTGACATCTTCTGTCCCTCTCTCTCTCTCTCTCCCTCTCTCTCTCTGAGAAACGCTCGGTGATCGCGCTGTCACGTGGTTTTCCCCGCGGGCGGTCGAAGCCCATCTCAGAGACGCAGTTTCGCGTGCTCTACCCCACTCCCGCCATCTCGCTCTAAGCTTCGGATCTTCTTAGAAAGATCCCACAAAATGGTGCGAGGACGCCCATCTGCAGCCTGTAAGCTGATCGCCTTCACAGCTTCGGGCCTGCCTCGCGAACGCTTCTTCGGCGCCGCCTTGGGAACAACAAGCTTCTCTGCCCCCACGTGTAGCTGCCATTGCCCCTTAGCAAGTTGCACCAACGCAGTGAAAAAGTCTTTCACCATTTCGCACTCATCAAGATCGGCTGTCTTGGCCTGCAAGGTCAAACGATCATCCAAAGTCGGTGGGGCTGCACCCCTTCAAGGCGCCCAGTCTCCACGAAGGCACACCAGTCTGCCCTGCTAGTGACTGGGAGTCCACAAGCAGCGATCGTGCGTGCAAGCCTGCAGAACTTTGACCTGAGTCAGAGAAGCTGCAGGGGCCGGCAAAAACTTTCAAATGATCTTCCGCGACGTGTGTCTTGATCCGTCCTCGTCACCAACGCAATCTTACAATCATGCAGCTGTCTCCGGCCGCCAGGGCGGAGAGTGCACAACCAAACAGGAAATTACCTTTACTTGTATATGGCCCCCTCTCTCCTATGGAACCACAACGACAAAGAAGAAGTGGGTGGTGGGCTGGAGCTCAAGAATGCAAACACGCCAGCCGCTGTGGCACAAGCCGAGGAAGCCACTGTTACACAACCAAGGAGTGGCATGCCACATGACGAGGTCAAGGCACCCTGCGTGGTTCGATAAGATTTTCTTCCCAATCGCATGCCCTCGCTCAACGTTTCCTGTGCCATCCTCGACGCTGAGGTAGAAGGAGATGAGTGAATGCCACAACTTGCTGCCTCGACAACTGTGAGCCTTTCCTGCGCCCACGCATTGCGATTGTCCTCATGCTTGGTGGACACCAATCTGTGCAAAGAGCTCATGAACTCTCGCCTGGCTGCAAGCGAGTCTTCTTGTCGCGCTCTCAGGCCAAACTTCAGAAGCTGCATCACCTGCTTCTCCGTTGTGGCAAGGTCTGTCATGGAGGCGCCGGCCACATTGAAAACAGCGAAGCAGCTTTCCAGCGAAGACGACGGAAACTCAGCTTGCAATCGGCTATAATCATCAACGTCGTGACTGTGGCAATCCCTTGCAAGGCCTGTGCGTAATCCCGCCGCGAGGAAGGATCCCACAAGTGGTGCACTCTGTCCTCCAGGCACTGCGGAAGTTGATTGCAAAGAAAGGAAACATGCTCAAAGGACTCAAAGGAAAGCCAGCCATGGCCAACTGTTACGTTTTATTGTTGGTTGAAAGGGCACACCGGAAGGCCTTCTGAACAGCCGCCCACTACTATATAGAAGCTGAGATACACACTTGGGAAAAAGGTGCATGTTTTTCGAAGGCTCTCTCCGGGTGTCCAAATGTTCTCTAATTGAACTTCGGCAACGAGGCTTTCTGGACTCAAAACCATAACTTCTAGAGATGCTGTGCTCAGGTGTCGGCACGCGTCGGCAAACCATAGTGAGCTGGGACAAGAATGATGGGGTCGGTGGACGCTTGCGATGTGTCTGTGTATGGGCATGAGTGTATGTACGTGTATGCGTACGTGTACGTGTGTGTGTGTGTATGTGTATGCGCGCGTATGTGTGCGTGTATGTGTGGAGTGTATGTGCGGCATGCGTGCGTACAAGCATGTGTACATGAGAGCATGTGTTATACATGAAGTGTCTGTGTGTGTGTACGGATGTATGTCTATCTGTTTGCGCGTTTGTTTGTTGTTTTTTTGTTAGGGACGGACGGACAGATCGCTGGGTCAAGTGATGGACGCCGAGAAGCCTCTAGAAGGTTCAGCTTCGAATTGCAGCGGCCGCTCTCAAGCCATCGCTGCACGACATCACGCGGCCCACTCACAGGCGCAGGCATTTCGACTCATGGCGAAGCAGGCTGTTTTACGGTTCAGTGTATTTCTTGCGAACATTGTATGTTCTAGCTAGCAATTAACTGCTATCCCATGGGTGCTCCATTGTTCCTGTAGATGCGACGTTGAAGCCAAGACAGGCTCGAGTGCATTGTTTACCACATCGGGGAGTGACTCAAACATAGGGCGGAATCACGGTAATGTGGTTTTTTGCTGAGTCATACCCATCTAGGGTCGGAGTACTCTATAGCTACTTCGGCTTGGTTTACCCTTCATTCATGCTGGCCAGTTTTTCCGTGAAGTGATTCTCGACTTGTTGCATCTTGCTGCGCACTTGAGCCTCCCCTTGACGCATCAGGCTCCTCTCATGCAACGTTGCCACCAACTATGTCATTCCATCATAACACACCACGCCCACCAAGCCAAAGCTTGGAACTTCTAAAAGAGTTCATCCCAGTGCAACAAATTCGAGCAAGCGCCCGGGGTGCCTCGACAGGTGTATCGCCCGACAGCGATGACGAGAAACCTGGCTGTCAGCGGCAGTATAGTCGCCCTCCTTGCTGAGAAGGTAAAATGTTTAGGTGATCTACCTATTGAATAAAGGTATGGTTTTTGACATGTGTTTGGGTTCATTGCACTTGGTGCCAGTGTTTAGAATATTTCTTTTGTTTGCCCGGGGGTAAAGCTCTTCCTGGGGTAGGGTTTTCTGGAGCGTGTCCTGCTGCATTGGATCGCTGCATGAAGGTGGTCATGGCACATACGATCCAAATTGGCCACAGGGCGTGGAAGCTGCTCCATTTTCAACACGTAGATTGTTGTAAGCTTGTATATCAGCAAGAACAAAACAAAACCCAGCCCTTTCTTTCCGTTGCGGCTTGCTTTTGGCCCATCTCAAAACATCTCAAGAACCCAGGTTTTCTGCTCGAGATGGTCTCAAATTTGCACTGCAGCAGGTAGCCAACCTTGGCTAAAGGTCCCCAAACGCTTTGGGGAACTGTGTCCAAAGCATGTTGCAACCAAACATGCGTATCAAAATCAGCCCTGACACCGTAGACGCCACAAACATCAGAAACCCAACGCAGCCTGTGGATCGAAGCCACCTGGCCCCAAGCCGCTTTGAGAAACAATGCCAGAAAACACAATGTCGCTATGCAAATCTATATATATATACATAATAGTCATCTCCCCATTCACTATGCACAAATACTCTGTGGCGGTTGAATGACACGGCTCAAATTGTTTCATTGAAGCAGGTTGCGGTGATTTCACAACAATGGCAATGGGAAACCGGACGCCGAAGCCGATCAATCGACGCAGGTCGAAGAAAAAAACGCTTGCCACAATACAATAGTTGCATCCAAAAGAAACTACAGAACCAACCCAAGAAACAAACCTTTAGTAGTCCCTGCATTGAAGAAAGTGCTTGGGTTTACGTATCGACGTTTTAGGGTCTTCTAGGTAGGGTCTATTAACAGGCGCCGGAATTCAAGACATCTCCCGAGAGGCGATTTGGGGATATTATTCCTTGCGTGTATCTACATTATTTGTTTGTGATGATGCTTGAGGACACTTTGAGGTCAACCTGTGACTTGCCATTGTTTGGAATCGGAACCCTGGACTCCGGACTACTTCCATGAAAAGAAGAAACCGGCGGACATTGCAGGATACTCTTCTGGGGGGCATGATTCTGTTGAGTGTTCCACCTGCGGCTGGTCGTTTGTTTTGAAACAAGTTAAGTTGACGATGTATTGTAACTGTATATTGATTGGGCTGCCTGTGGAAACTCAGGGAACAACATCGATGGCAAACCTGTATACAAAGAAGTATTGTTAAAAAAGTGCCGCTGCACGAGGTTTGCTCTGACCGCGAAAATGATCCACACAACGAAAAAACATGTTTGTTCTGGAACAGCACCACCTCAGAATATCTCAAAAACACCATCCCACATCAACTCGATAGTGTACTATGGTCAAAACTGGGGCGAGTTCCCTCTAGTAGGCATGGTCATCCGCTTTCAATGGAGCTTTCTATACAACCCTGGTGAGGACCCGTGATCATGGGAAGGGGACCATGCCCTACATAAGAAGTATTGATTTGGCCGTAGGACATACTTGACTGATTAGATGACTAGTTGGCGACACTGCTGGAGACCCATCCCTATTGGGCCGCTCTGAAACCCACTCGCCTTCATCTTTGCTCAACCACCGGAAGAGCTGAACTCGTGCCAAACTTACGCCCTGAAAGAAGCCCATGGACCCTCAAAACCTAAGAGCGATGGCCTCCGGCCATCTCCGTCCTCCTAGCAACAGCCTCCGGCCTGGCAGCGATGGCTCCCCCCAATAGTGAGGGCCTCCAACCCAGATGATTAACATGGACCCTGGAAACCACTAAGTTGCGGAGGGCAATTTCAATCCTCTTCAAAAAGTCTACGCCATCAAGTTCTATGTGGGTCATCGGACCCGGGCGTATTCGATCACCCCGGCACGGTCCGACGGTCCACGGAGTACTGGCTGGCTCTCTTGCGCCTCCTTGGCACAAGCGTGGCTTCAACCTGGGTGACCGCAACAAGCGCTTGGGCATATAGGTGTGAATTATTTTGGGGTAATACCATGGCTCTGGCTGGGTAGACTGGTCTAGTTTCCAAACCTTCCAGGGGGTCGTTGCATGGGAGGTCCCCCTGTCTGTAATAAATACACATCATATACTACACTATACTATACTACTCTATCTATACCCATACCGTATCGATGTTTTGGGGTCGTCTAGGTAGGGTCTAAGAACGGGGGCTGGGATTCAAAACATCTCCCGTGATGCGATTTGAGCATAGTTTGCCTTGCATGTATCTAGATTGTTGGTTGTGATGATGTTCGAGGACGCTTTGACGTCAACACGTGTGTTTTTGAGATACTTTGAGGTGGTGCTCTTCCAGTTGCGTGGGTGATGAAAATGTTTTTTTTTTCTGGTAGGTCTATATACATCCGAAAAAATGCGCCCTCTAGGCCTCCCCACCTCGTTGCGAAGAAGGATGAAAATGATGAAGGAGGCAGGCCGCAGCCAAAAAAACAGCCGGAAAATCAACAAAATACTAAAAATCCCAAAAGCCTTCCCAGACATACATATCAAATGTCGTGCCAGTTCCTTGCCACACGACATCTGTGTTCCAATCCTTTCAGGCCAACTGTTGGCTGCTGGCACCGCATCGTTGGTGCCAAGCACATGGTTTTCCCATAATGGTTATCCGGTTGCACAACCCTGTTGAAACCCATGGGCAAACATGGCTGAAAGGAAGTGCAAAACTCGCGGCAACCAATACGGATTTTTGGACAAATTATTTCACAAGAACAAGGCTGTCAGGCCTTCCTGTGAAAAAAATATCACCCTGTTGGTCCAAGATGCCAACACAGTGCTGTATGGCTGGGCGGACGTCGTCTTGGTCTTTGCGACCGGATATGCATGTACTGGGCTTATGTTGCAGAATTCGCTGCCCCAACACTGGAAATCATATCATCTCAAGGTGCCCACGGAGAACCATTTCAATGTTCCCCTGAAGGCGGCTCGCTGCGATTTGCTGCAGCGTGTGAGTGTTACGAGGCCTTCCGGGAAGGCAATGAACCCTATATTTTTGTGAAATTGGCATAATCCAGAATATGAGCCCTTGCTGTGAACTGACGGGCCTTGGCGTGGCAGGGATTGCTTTGTGTTCCGTCCCCTCTTTACTTAAGGCATTGGAACTGTCTCAAATTTCAGGACCTATCATTCATCATCATCCCAGTGCTAGTGTCCAGACCTTTTCTATGGAAGTTGGAAGGCCGGCCTTTGCTGGTGAAATTTCACAGTGGGGGAGCCAAAGCAGTTCATCAGCAAGGAAACTTGGCGGGAGGCGAATGACAGTTGGTGCGGTGGCTCGAGGCCAGCTGCCAAAGTGCCCGCCACAGCCTGTGGTCAATCAGCTGAGGGAGTGCGAACGGTGATACGTTATACCCTTAAGTGCACGCGCGGCAGTTTTGGAAAGGCAATCGGAGTGTGGCAGGGTGATGCAAGTGACCACGCGCGCAAGAACTCGCTCGTCGCAGTGATTGATGAACGACGGTGTTCGTTTGCATTGTTTCACGCCTGTCCCTCGTGGTTGGTCACCCGGGATGAGCACAGGCTGCTCGAAGACACTTTTGAAAGGACAGCGGGGTTGAGTTGGGTGGAGGGGGGGGTGAAGCAAGCACCATCACTTTCCTAAACCCGCGATCTGTATGAGATATCCGCCCCCTCAAACAAGAAAATGGAAAACGCTGAAATAAATTGCACTCGGCCGCGAAAGTCACGGCATAATAGGAAAAATTTCGTTCTGCAACGGAAATGCGGCGCCAGGAGGGGGTTCCGGCATACACCGCAACACCAAACTTCCCCCAACCGACAAGCGAACTTCCTGTCCCCCATGGAACTACGCCCCCCAACTGGGCCAGAAACTCACCCCAAGTGCTATCCCGCATGGAAACGCAATACCAAATTCTGAAAACTTGAAAAATCACACCACCAGGGTTTGCAAAACACAATGTGAACGCAGGTCACCCCAACATCTTAAACCATATTCAAAGACACCCAAAACCATCATGTTTGTCCATGAATCACCATGTGAACGCAACATGTAGGAAACTTTTCTCTTCCTTCAGAAGTCTCAGTCTCACTTCTTGTGAACCTTCTGGAACCGCTTGGCCCTGTTGGCCTGCCAAGCCGACAGCCAAGCATTCCTGCCAGCTGTCGACTTCAGCATGTTCTTTTGGATCACGTTCATATTGAATATTTCCCACAAGGTGTGCTTCTTCGAAGCTTGAGCCTTGAGGTGTCCCACATAGAACTCGGCCACTTTGACAATGTCCTTACGTCTCTTTTTGCTAAAGTGGCTCAGGATGAAGTTTCTACAGCCAATGTCTGTGGCCAGGTCATGCTCTTCGTCTGACAAGCAGTCGAACTCACTTGGCGGGGGTGCATCGCCTTTTTCTTCACATTGACCTTCTGCAACTGCCACAGGCTGGGCCACAGGTGTTTCTGCCGCAGGCGCAGGTGCTTCGGCACTTTCAGGCTCTTTCTTTTTCTTCCGAAGGGTCGCCATCAAATCATCCAGCTGAGCCAGAAGAGGTGCCTCCACAGGAGTGACATCTTTGACATCAGCTGGCGCCTCCTTCTTTTCCCATCCCTTACGATGTCCGGTCTGAAACAAGGCAGCCTTACTGCTGTCAAACTTGCTGCTTTCTCCGCCGCAGTGCGGGCAAAATTTGCAATCAACGCCCACCAGCTGTCCGCATGAATGTTTGTTCTTCTGCGGCGACATTCTTGAACATATCTCCAAAGCAGATGAAGCGGAGGACGATGCAGCCGTGCCCTTTCCATCCCTCAAGCTCTTGAAGATGTCCTTATGACCTTGGTGACCAAACTGAGACAGAGATTCTCATGCTCGTCTTTCCTGAAAAAAGACACGAAACAATGAATGATTGAAAGTCTCGTGTTTTCCGAAGTGAAACATACATTCGTTGATGGAAAAACGTGAAACATCTCTTGGCAACGACGAGCAACGCTGAACGAAAATAACCTCCCGATCATAGCCCTCCCCAACACGGATTCCAATCTGGGCCCAGCTTGCCCGGACCACACCAGGCTGCAGTGATGAGTCACAAACTTCTGACGCAGCCCGTAACGCCACAAACAATGTGAGCGGCTGTTGCTTGTGTGCCCAAGCAGCCTTGAAGGCCGCCCAGAGCTGGGCATGCTTGCATTGCAGCACAGACAATGGCATGGAACATTGGCCGTGATATGTGATGTAAAGAAAGAGCTCCTCCTTCTGTTGCTCTGACAACTGCACGTCCTGAGCACGACCTGGCAACACAGGTCAGGAGGATAAAGGACATCAAGTTATCATTTATAGATTTACAGATTTGGGAACGCCTGAAACACATCTCCGTCTACACATGTAAAGGCACCTGTTCGGAAAGCTGGAGGAGCTTCTTCAGGCAGAACACCCCCTGCAACAACGACTTGGTGCAGCATGCCAAGCTTCTTCCTCTCAATGTGCAAGGCTGCCAGCCTCTCATCGTTGGCCAAAGCATTGCAACTGGGGAACAAGCCATCAAGCAACCAGGACACCAGCTGGCGGTACATCCGGTATCGCCCTTCCACGTGCTGCAGTCGGTCACTGTGCGTTGCAGAAAGCGCTGTGAACTCCTGCAAAAGTTCACAAATCTTCTCAAGCAAAACTGGAGAAGTCTCCTTCACCTTCACGGGCTCCTGCTGCCTACTTTCTGCCACTTGCCCGCGGTCCAACTCTTCTGTGCCCGGCTCTTCCGCCGGCTCTACCACCGGCCCTTCTGCCGAAACTCTTTTCTGAATTCCATCTTTCCACGCACGGCGGTCCGCTTCAGTCATGCTCGACCGCCACGTGGACATGTAGGTTTTTTGTTTTTTTCTTTTGTCCGGGCCATCCAAGTGTGCCTGCACCCGGGCATACCAGCACTGCTCCGATTCCCGCTTTCTTCTCGGCCATCCACATTCAGGCTCAGAGTCACGCATTGGCAAGTCAGCTTCAGCTTGCAAAGTTCCTGGCGTAGCTGGCTCGCTCAGGGTCAGAGCTGGCTCTGCCGCAAGGCGCTCATCCAGGTTGCGCTGAAAGCAGGCAAGGCAATATTTCGGCAAGCAGCTCCGATTGTCCAGGGTTTTGCCGCATTGCATTCCAAGCACCGCACCACAGGGTCGAGTGGCTCATCTGCTTCTGGATCGCCAGCAGGAGGTGGAAGAGGCGGCGCCTCTGCCGGCTGTGGACATGCGCCTCAGATGGGACAACCGCCACAGAAATTCAAGGGTTTCCGAACGAGGTCCAAAACGAGGTCAAAACGACGTCCGAACGATGTCCGAATGTGGCCCGGCCAACCACTTGCCCACATAGCATTGAAACCTTACTAAAAGCATACACTCAATGAAAAGCAAGTGTCTCGAGGAAGCCGCGTCTGTGCGAGACTTGTCTTTGCCTTTGGCAACACTGACACTTTTCTCACCAGACTGGGTCTCTGCGATCTTCTCATCAAGCTTCGCCCTCAGCAGCAGATCACGGTCGCTGCTCTTGTACGGCACACCCCATGAATCCAAAGCAGCTTGCAAATCCAATCGGGATAGTCTCGCTATCTTCGCCGCAGACAAATGTTCTTTGGGCGGCATGGTGAAACGTGCTTCCTGATCGCCCAAGCCGAAACAAAAAAACAAAGCAACAACTGCCTTGAAGCGATTCCTCTACGGATCTTCTCATCGAAAAAATGGAATACCGATTCTCCCAATTGCGGACAGCACCACTTTACCAAGTAGAGTTTCAAATCAGCATTGCGTGTACTGCTTGTTTCTCTGTCGCTGGCTGCTGTTACCTGCTCGCAACAAAGATTTTCCTTCCCGCGGAAGTTCCTCAAACTGTCCGCCCCTGCGTACCCCACGACAGTGCGTTTGCACTGTCCTACCCTGCAAGGCTGCAACAAAAAGTGTTCCCATTCATTTCTTCGATTTCTTAGGAACACAAGTCGCACAGCGACACACATCTGCATCTCCAAAACCTACCCGCACACGGTGACTCATGGTCGTAAAGACCCCCGAAGCTCCACCCCCGAAGCTCCACTTTCTGTTATCAGAGTTGGAGACCGAGAAACATCCAAAACAATGGAAGCTCTGAAGCAGGCATAGCAGGTGCCACCTGTACAATGGCCATCCTTGCACATCCATTTGACATGATGCTTTTTGGCACCACACAGAAGACAGAGAGCGCGCTCACACGGAAGCTCCCCCTTCTTCATGACAACCTTCCTCTTCTGAACGCGATTCAACGCTGTCAGGTGATCTAGCTTCTTGAAAACCTCAAGGTTCTGCTCACGCAAGGCATTCGCAAGGGCCCCAAGAGATTCTACCTGAGATGAATGTCGATCAATGTTACACCGATGAGATGGGTGGCCCCCTGTCGGTGTCAGGTTTTCTTATATGAGCAATGTTCTTTAAAGGGTGAAATGCCTTCACACTGCTGGGTTGCCTTCACTGGAGGTTTTGCAGAGTTTGTGGGACGGGTGGCTTTCGAGAGCCTTCGTGGCACATAATGTATCACAGACGTGCCTTCGCAGACATTTGCATAGTTACAGTCCAATCTAAATTTTACCATTCAATAAAAACGCTACTGGTATGAGTGGTAGAAGTAGTACAAATAGTAGTAGTAGTAGTAGTAGTAGTAGTAGCAGTAGTAGTAGTAGTAGTAGCAGTAGTCGTAGTAGTAGTTGTAGTAGTAGTTGTTGTTGTAGTAGTAGGAGTAGTAGTAGTAGTAGTAGTGGTGGTAGTGGTAGTAGTAGTAGTAGTAGCAGTAGGAGTAGTAGTAGTAGTAGTAGTAGCAGTGGTAGAGGTAGTGGTGGGAGTAGTGGTGGTAGTAGTAGTAGTAGGAGTAGTAGTAAAAACAAAACAACACAAGCCAAGCAAAGCCAGACCAACCCAAGCACCAAACCGCCCAGCCAACGACACAACACAACACAACACAACACAACACAACACAGAACAACACAACAACACAAACAAAAGAAAGGCGCACCCACGCCCAGCCAAGCATCACCATCTCCTTGCTGTTGCTCTCCAGGATGAAGGACCTGGGCCAGGGCAAACACACAGGGAAGAGCAAACAGGGGACGACACAACAAGAAACAAAGAAACAAACCAACAAACAAACAAAAAAACAAACACAGCACCACACACACACCAAAAAAATAAACAACCACAACGACACAACACAACACACACACACAAAAAGAAAAAAGGGCGCACCCACGCCCAGCCAAGCATCGCCATCTCCTTGCTGTTGCTCTCCAGGATGAAGGACCTGGGCCAGGGCAAACACACAGGGAAGAGCAAACAGGGGACGACAACAAGAAACAAAGAAACAAACCAGCAAACAAACAAAAAAACAAACACAGCACCACACACACACACCAAAAAACAAGAAACAGCCACAACACAGCAACACAGAAAACAAACACAAACAGTAGAACACCAACACAATGAAAAGCCAAAGCCCAGCCAACAGCCAACCTAGACCAAGCCAAACCAACCAAGAACCCACAATGCCAGGCCAGGCATCCACATCTGTCAGCTGTTGCTGGCCACCATCAGGAACCTCAAGTCCAGCTTACAGAGACCTATCATGCAAACAAAGGTAAGAAATACATCGTGCAAAATAGAATGCATGTCAAGAAGCCTTCTGAGAGGAAAAAGGAGAAGAAGAGCGCTTGCGCTTCGCAGGAGTGCAAGGCACCATGGATGCGAAAGTCCAGTGTGCTTGAACTAGAAACTGCAAAAAAAAATCTCTTCAGCATCAGAAGGACAAGCTGAATACAGGAAAAGCTTATAGGAAATGACACTGGTTGATTCCTTCATACTAGTAAACACAAGCTGAACGCAAGTTGGTGCGAGTTCCTGCTCTAGTTCCCAAGCTGAACGCAAGATGTGGGATGAGTTGGTGCGAGTTCGGGGTTTGGGAGTAGTTGCAAAAACCAGTTTCCGCAACGAGCATGAACGAGAGGGCGAACGAGGTCAGAACCATGCCAGCAAAGAAAGTCCCTTACCTCATCACGTATATGCGTACATCCCCTTTTTGTTCGTTCCTTTTTTCGTTCATTCCCCAAGCGGCGTCACTACAGGTTCTTACGGTAATTTGTAAAGGCCGGTGTTGGATCGAGGTGTTGCACCGGGGCGTTTGGCTAACCCGTTGCTATTTACAATGCATTCATGCCAGTCGAAACTCCCGAAGTGCAAAAATTTTGGTGGGGCGCGATCGGAGTGGCTATACTTCGAGGTGAGTTTTTTTTGGCAGGCGCACCACCTTTGGCCATGGTGGTAATCTTCGACATGCCCTGATTTCGTGACAGGTGCAGTGAATCGTGACTTTTGGACATGTGGGTCGTTTCCACAAATCGGGGGAAGTCTTGCGCGAAAACTGCGTTTTGGTATCTTGATGTTGTCTTGGAAGCGTTCTTGCGGCAAAACGCCTGCCGGTCAGATGGCACCAGTCTTTCTTAATACAATTTGTCTGATTCGCCGTTGGCCCCGGCCGACTGCTCCAGGAGGCAGACACCGGTGTCGTACGCAGGTTCATCTGCATAGTTCTTGTTGTCCTCATAGCCGTTTTCCACGCGATGTTTTTTGGTTTTGCTGTTTTGCAGTTCGTCCAGGCTGCAGTGCAAAACGTCCGTCGACACTGCCTGGACTACAAAATTCCGGGAAGTGTTGGCGTTGAAGCCATGGTCACTACATTTGCCAGGCCAAATTGAAGCAAGGATCTCGGCGTGCCCTGCTCCAGCCATATGCTCACCTTCATAGCTGCTTTCTGTGATTCATGTTTTCAAGCATCTTCCAATACAATGGCCAGCACACTGCGAAGCTCATCATTGGTTTGCGTGATGACACCCTTTATGTCGAAGGCACTTGAAGCTGAAGCACGGGCAGCTTCTGCAACGCTTGTGGCGGGAATTGGTAGCAATTGTTCATCAGACGCTTTCTTGGTGACTCTCTCCACCTTCGACAAGGGAAGGCCCACCACCATTTTCAAAAAGGAGGACACATGTTGCCGCTTGGTGTCAGCAAACCCTCGGTTTGCTTAGCTTCCTGCGTGTGCCGTTGGCATAGGTCTTCAAAATTTTTGCGCCACCTTTCCTTCTTTTTGCTGTCCTTTGCTTCTGGTGAGTTTGATAACCAACAGCCGGAAAAACAAAGACGTATTTGTCTGTTGCCTTTGAGGCAAATGTCCTATTTTGATTTTAAGAGTCATGTGTTCGACTGATTTGTTTTGAGAAAACGGATCCAATGTTTGCAAATGATTGTTGTCCTGCCTTAAGGCATTAAGAGTTGAGCACCCACAAACCCGGCTTGGCTCTAGGCAAAAACAGACGCGGTGGACGTAGAAAATTTGACTGATCAGCTGCTGGCCGGCATGAGACAGTGCAGAAGCAGCAAGCAATCCTGCGAAAGGATTTGGCTGACCAGCTTGGCCTGCTCCAGGAGTTGAGCCCCAAGCATTGCAACTTGAAGCAGGTGTTCAAAGCAACACCTGCGCCCATGCTAGGCGCTTTAAAGGTGACCAGAAATTTAATCAAGCGTTTGAAGCAAGTGTTCAACGCAATACCTTTGCAGCACCCATCTATTAAAACCAGGTTTGAGAGGGACCGCCAACTATTGGCGGGAAAGTTTGCAGAGCAGGTCATGACAACGGGCGTTCAATGTCCGAAAATGGGAATCATCGACGGAAACACATATCATCACATATCCCATGAAGGACAACTTCCTTGAAACGCTAATCCGTGGGATGTTTCCCGGAAAGCACGCAGGTGAACCTTGCAAATTCACGGCGGGAATTCATTTTTGCATTTCAAGTGCAAATTTTTCATCCAGACCTACCTAGAACCTGAATGACCTCTATTTTGGACCACCAACCACCCAAAATATGGCCTTTTCCTATCAAAACACGGGTCAGTTGGGTTCCAGGCAAACATATTATCAAAAGCAACTCTGTGCTCTATATCGCTCTCAATCCAGGAGCCTTTTTGGGGTTGAGATTGTTACCGTCGCGTCTAGGCCTTTACCTGTGAACTCTTGATATTTTTCGTAGAGAACGCTAAACCTCGCGACCTAGATCTTCTTGCATCAAAACGCTCAGCGTGGACCTTTCATGTCTACAAACCTTAAGACCGTTCCTTCGGCTTCTGCATTGGTAGACCTCTAAGTTTAGAGACCTCTATAACTATCTGCCTGGATCCAGATCTCTTTTGACCTCTACTTGGATCGCTTTCCCGACCTTGTTTCTAGACCTCTCTAAGCCTCTAGAAGTAGAGACCGTTTACATGTTTCACACTCTTTTTCGTGTCCTTTCCCTGTACTTTTTCTCCCCTGTGATTGTGGGTGCTCTACCTCGGACTCATCCTTTTCGAACTTTACATTGCTTTGGGCCTTTTGCAAGGATATAGTTTCTTGTCTCCCCGCTTGTCTGTCTGTAATCGGCGCTTTGTCTCTGCCAGCGTTGCCTTGTCTCCGAACTGTTTCTCCACCAGTCTCCACACTTGGTTGCCCGCTTTGCTTGATCGGCGTTTTGTTTGCTGGCTTGTCTTCTCCCCAAGCAAACGCGACACCGACAGAAACGCTTTAAAACTAGAACGTCGCCACGACTTCAACATTTGATTGTAAGCCCAACCAATTTCAGACTACGTCACCTCGAGTCATCCCCACCATGACATTTCAATCAGGCCAAGGTGTGGTGCATGTTGCCACGCTCGTTATGTTTGTGGCTTTCGGCTTTGCTTTGCATGTGGGATTTATCGTGTTATGAAGTTCGCGTCGGAGTGCCGCCAGGGTGGGGAGATTTTTTGCGCAGCGACCTGCAAGGCACGGGATAACGTGTAGACCGAGTTCTTGACAACTCCTCGCTGGCAGGGTCCGCGAAGAGTTTCTCCAGTTCATGCACTCGTTCATGCAATGCGCCCCCACCCATTCTTCCTACGATTCATTATCTTGCTTGAATGCCTTGCTTCATCCTTGGCCCCTGCGAAGGCACACCAACGAAACGTGGCACATGGAGGCAGGCAGGGAAGATTCATTGTCAGCCCCCAGCCCAACAGCTCAGAAAAACAATCCTTTTGAACTGGATTTTTTCCGTGAGCGTTAGGATTCTCATGGCTTTCCGCGTGAAGAGAGAGCAGGACCAAAAAGGTTTTGAATTAAGAATGGCCAGGAGCGGAAAGCCTGAAAATAAGAGATTTGAGCGCTTAGATTCGAAAACCTGGCAGGGAAGCATAAAGCACGCGAACTGTGCAAGAATAACCACATGCATGTGTCATCTTGCCGAATGACCCACCAGAAGGCTACGTACCTAACAAGTGCCCGAAAATTTCTCTGCACACGAAGGTGCCCCAGCCCCAAATGGACTTGCTGCTGACTTCTTCTCTGTTCCACGAGTCCCCGGGTCTATTAAAACATTTCAACAGGCAAGCTACACTGAGAAGCTCGAACGCAACCACGAACTGACAAGCAACCAACTGGGTGGTTCAAGGTTTGTTTCCCGCAGCATGGGCGGGCGACCAAAAAAGAAGGATGGTGGGCGCCCAGCTTTTCAACGACTGCCAAAAACGCTGGTTTCAAGAATTCGGTGAAACACCAATCACCATCTCAGTTGCATGGATTGTCGCACTTGGCTGTTGATCTACCTTCGGGTTAAGCAGTGGGCCGTGAGGTCCATGAGGGACACGATTTCCAAAAACTGAGGAAGTTCCTATAGCAGGAAGTTGGAAGTCCGAAAAGGATATAGTTGGAAATTCGTCAGAGTTCGCCTGGGGGGTTCGTCGCGGAAATCACCGGGGTTCGTCGGAGTTTGCCTGTTCGTCGGAGTTGGCCGGAGTTCATAGGAGTTCGCAGGAGTTCGTCGGGGTTCGGATCAGTCGAGACGAATACGCAGTGACCAAGGCATTAATAGGAAGACCAAGGCTCAAGGTTTTAGGATGTTTTAGGCATCCCATGCTGGGTGATGCACAGCGAACGTTCGTGGCCATCAAACAGTCTATCGCCAAAGTACACGTGAGAGCTATCAAACTGCACTGGTGGTTCCTGAAGAAACACAAAAACGGGAACGCCACGAATGTTGCGAATTGTTATGGAACCATCAAAGCTCGCGTGCCCCGCAGAACAGGGATCAATAAGGTGGGAAAGCGTGCAAGTTCACCTTTTGTTCCTTGCTGTCTTCCTGTGATTCACCTCATAAAAATAAACTGGAAATCTCGGAAGCTGAAGAGTGAAGCCGGAAAGCCAGGGTACATGTATCCTTGTTCACCTCTTCTTACTCAGTTTGCCATGCTCGGAACATGCCGGTTTCTGATATGAGATCTTTCATGCGATTGGGGTGAAGGTGGTGCCAGTGCTAGGTGAACCTGTAGTGTGCCACTGCGATTGCGTTCTCTGTCATAGCACTACTCAACCTGAACGGGCGCGATCATATGCTGAAGATGAACAGCCCGTGCACTTTACTACACGACATGTACGCGGCGGAGCATCCCATTCCGCAGTACGCACACCAACCAAAGGAGGACTTCATACGACGTGGCACGAGAAAGCTCAAGGACCCAGTTGGAGTGAAATCACAGGCTCGCAGTGCAGTGAAGCAGCAGCTTGTTTAGCAGCACACCTGAAGTCCTGAAGTACGCGGCCTCAATGGAATTCACATGAATTGACCACTGAGGCCTCACCCCAGCCATCAGAGGCCTCACCCTGCGTTAGGCCCAAATCTGGCAAACCTCGGACTGTGAAAGCCGAAGCAAAAGCAACTGCAGCAGAGTCCAGCCGAGTCAGTCGTGCCCCGTCGAAACACCAAACCCACGCACACCCGAGAACTGCCCTCACGCACACGGTACAAACGCCTGAATTGGCACGGGAAACCGGTCCACCATGTCTTGTAGATGATCCGAAATCGGGGACGGCATAGTTGAGCCACAGACAATGTGAGCACAAAGCGACCACAGCTCCATGTCTCTTTGTGTGCACGTCATCTTTTTGTGCGCCCAATTTGGGTCGGCGGGTTGCAAGCACACTGGATTGGTGTGTTGTTGTTTTCGAATGATGGGAGGCAAGCATCGGAAGGCACACTTCCTTGGACTTTGCGTGGATCGGCGTCACTTCAGAACTCCTTTCTCCCCTTTAGAATCCTTTTTGAGAGGAATGGAGAATATGACTCAATAACTCCAAATGTCCTTTGGAAAAGGAGCTCACCCTCTTGACCAGGCAAGACTTGTTGGAGTGCGCATCGCTGAGATTGGTGCCCGAAAGGCAACTGTCAATCCATTTGGGGAATTGCGAATCCGTGATGACGGAGTATATATATAATATACTATTTATACTTACTAAAATGTCAAAGCTGCTTGCACAAAAATATAAACCAAACCATCCCAAACCAGGAATCCAAAGGGCCCCGTGGTAGTACTCTGGCACCAGTCACTAGTGAGCAAGGCGAGCATTTTTTGGAACAAACTATGCATGTTATGTTTGTTGTGTATTGTGTACTAACGTGTACTATATAGTACTAGTAAGAATCTTTGTAAATGGACTTTTGACAAACTGTGCAAACGCATCGTAAGGCTGCTCAAATGAAATCAGGTAGTTCTGCCAGCGCTTTCAGTCTCTCAACTTTTAGCCAGCTTGATGCATAGTTTCATGATGTTTCATGCAATGCTGCTATCTTAGAACGAAGCGAATGATGCATTTCTGTGACCTTGGGGACACAACAACAACCTTGAAAGGGTCCGGTACTCTCGCAAGACCTACGTACAAAGGGTCTCCCATGATGTCTCTCAAAGCCACGTACAACGTCAAGTGACCATAAGAAGCAGAAAGGGTGCCATGGACGTGCGAAGACGGCCAGTCTTGCATTTGTGTTGCCAACTCAGCAAGAATTGCTGAAAGGTCGGCAGCCGAAGCAACACCCCTGCTGGCCTCGAACTGCTGGAAACATGCCTTTGGACCGGTGAGAATGTTGGGGACCTGGTGCAGCGATGCTGGTGGTCGGCCGTCGGCCGTCGACCGGGCAAAGCACGGGCGCACGGGTCGCCGGTCGTCGAACTCCACCGAGGGCGCCGCTTCAACGGCGGTCGGCTGCTACGACGTCTTTTTCGAAGAAGCATCCGCGTGTTTTTCTGTCATGCTTGAGCTACGGCAGGATTCAAAACACATCAAAACACACATTGGCACTTCACAAAAGGGCGACCCTTCTCCAATGATTTTTGCCGGAGGTGCTGCTTAGGCAGATTGGTTCCGATTTGAGAGTATCCCGTCATTTGGTCCATTTGACACTGCTTGACTACTTGTTGGTGCTGGTTCCCAAAGACAGGAACTTCCTTTGTAGAGTTTTAGCGAGTGACCTTTCAGTCTTGCTGAGAGCATCCATGGATGCCCTTGACTGCGTTGGCTTGTAGGCATTGGAGCAGATCTTGACCAATCATCAGCCGAGTGCTTGGCAACGGGGTCAGCCAACATGAAGCTGTCCTTCGTCCTTCCGAGCTGCAACATGGCAAATGCCCCATAGTACGGCCAGGAGCCCCTAGTAGCGTCCTTGCTCCTAGTAGCCTCTCCAAGCTGGAGCTGAATCCACCAGAGTGTTCTCTTCAACACGCTGTGCCCGCCCAAGACTCGCTCGGGCCACCGCCCACCGGTTTTCCGTTCGCGTTGGAGGTCGGGCGTCGTTCGCTGGGGTCGTTTGCGCCGATGAGTTGGGCGGTCAGAAGGCTTGGCAAAAGATTCCAAACTGAAACAGCAACCAAATGAGTCTGCATCACCATGAAGAGACCCAAATGCTATAGCCTTACCACCAAACTCTCTCTTCTTCAAGCACAAAAAACGGCATGCAGAAAATACGCCCAGCTGCCTTTTTCTGAAACTGCGAAACTGCAATGTGGCGAGAGCTACAGAGCTTCAAGCTGCGAGTTTCTCAAGATCCAGCTGGACGATTCTTGTCCAACAAAAACTGAACTGAACTCCTGAAAATATAGATAGCACCAGGAAATATCGGTTAGCACTCTTTTTTTGGATGTTCTCCAATTCCCTCGAAAACGACCATGCTTAACAAGCATGGACGCAACTCTGCAGGTGTCAATCACAATGTGGAGAAGCCGGCAACCTCATAGAAGCAACTTTTCAGGAATGCCCCATGGATCAGGATCTATGTCTTCACACACTACCCCAGGCTCCACCAATTCCATCCAATTCCAATGTTTGCTTCTCTGAGGGCAAATGCACGGATCAGGTGATTGTCAATCATGATGATGTGCTGTCCAATGCGAAGTAGATGATGGGAATTGTGGAAGGGCTAGCAAGGGCAACCGAGGTATGGCAGAAAGGAGTCCTAGGTCCTAAGCATTCAGTCTGGATCCATCGGTCTGCAGCTGAACTGCATCAGCCCGGGCCACGGCCAGGGTCGGCAGCTCTGGGGACTGGAAGAAGGGCCGCATAGGACCAGTCGCCACGAATCTTCCAGGCCTGGATGTTCAGCTAGACTAGTCAAATGCTCATCCTTTGGTGGTCTTCAATGGCGGAGAAATACCAATCAATGGTCCCCATGTTGGTGCTTGGCACTGCCGCCGCGCATTGGACCGGGCCGTGCCAACACCTGCATCTGGAGATTTGTCCACATGATTAGACCTGTTCTTGAAAAACTCTGAAACAACAGAAGGTCGGAACCAAAAAACATAGAGCTCTGCCCATGCTGTTCCTTGGCGAACATCTTCAACAACTTCATGACAGGTCCCATCCTTCTCTTTCAAATATCAGCAAGGAATCGCAGGTGCCAAAGCCTTCTTTGGACACAGAATGCACGACATGGTCAAGCTGCTAAAGTCATCTGAAACCCTTTTCTCCAGTAGATGGCCAGCAGGGGGGACCCAATCTGGCTCAATCCCAGGTCGTTCCAGTCCGAGGCTTTTGCAGCTTCACAACTCCGACACACGGTCACATCGTCGCATCCTCACGCTCATCTCAAGCTGCGGAGCGTCTCCTGTGGACCGTCCAACTGGGGCACCCGACCATGAAAGCTGCTGGTGAAAACATTGCACAATTTCTCTAGTGTGGACCATGAAAGCTAGGATTATCTGTCTTATCCTATGCCAAAATGTTCATCGCTGACCCTTTCAGACGATGTGAATATTGAATAGACCCAAAAGCACTCCATCCACCTGCAAAAAGTGTATCATTGAACCCTCGAACCTCGAACCACTGGTTTGTAGAGACGCTTTCGAGGCTTTCAGATTCCATATAAAAATCTCCAGTGATCAAATACCCACTTTGCCTCCTGGAACGTCCCCTGTTGCTCTCCAAAGCTGGATGCCCTTGTGTCTCTCTGCCCCAGCAAGTGTGTCGCGATCTCTCCCGTGTCTCTCCCGCCGGTTCATCCGGTCGTTCTGCGGTCCGTTCTCCTTGGCCTTCTTCAGGTTCCGCCGTCGCACCCGCAGCGCGGCGTCGTTGAAGCGCAGCGGCAGGGCAGCGCTCAGGTCGCTCCAGGCCTGCAGCGCATCCAGCGAGGAGGGCTCGGTGTCCGCCAGCTGCGGGAACGGCAGCGAGAGCTCCTTGGGACCTACGGCCGCCCAAGGACGTGCAGATGTTGTGCCATGGTTGGGGGCAGGGTGGTTTGGGTTTGGCTGGAAAAGGCACGGGTTGGGGAGAGCATTTGACTTGCAAATGCCCGAAGAAAGGCAGGGTACTTTGTCAGGTTTGCTTGTGGAGGTCGGTGGGTGAAGAACTGAGTTTGCTGAATCCACATGACATGACGTCCCAGTATGCTCGAAACATGCCACTCTCAACAGCATGCGCCACACAGTTCCTAACCTCCCAGCCTCCAGGCGTGGGCACCGCCACGGAAAGCTCCAAGGTGCTCTGGCCCGAGGGAAGTCCCTGGAAGCCCACATGAAGCTGATGCTTCGTGGAACAATTCGGTTGATGGATTGGTGCACAGTTTTAGTCGAACAGGGAAGTCCATCGCAAACCTTTGACGAAAAATGCATGGCATGCCAAGAAGTCTGAAAGCAGCCAGGCTACATATCCCTTGCCGTACCTGTAGCCGACACCAAGGCCAACCAGCATGGGGCTGCCGGGGCCTTGATGAACAAGCTCCGGAGAGACTCCGACCACCACAGAGGTGCAAATACCTTCAACGGGGACAACCAGTCTCCACATGGAGGTGTTTTTCCACCTGAACTTCATGGTTTAGTAACACACTGGCCAAGTCGGCCCTTTAAATCGGAAACATAATCCGACAAAGGCGAACTCTTCATGGGATGGATCGTGATGATCATTGGCTCAATGAGGCTACATAGCTGTAATAGTCTTAAGATTTGGTGTCAGCAAAAGCCACAGCTGCATCGGACTATGACTCCCTTTGGCACCTCGCAAAATGCCCTCGATCTGAGTGCTGCATCCTGCTTGGGACACCAGCGCCTGTGGTGGCAGCCGCTTTAAGACCTGACGTGTTGTGTCGCCGCAAGGCCACTCTTCAGGGGCAGAACCCACCAACATGTCTTTTTTCATCCGCATCCCTTTCACCTGCTCCCACCCCTAGTCATGCCACAAGAGCTCCAGTTGCCACTACGTAGGTCTTCTCCACCCAGCCTCTCTCCACCCATCCAGGTCCATCCAGCTCCACCCAGCTCCGCCAGGTGTGGACCGCCAGGTCCCCATGCCTTGCCTGTAGAAGGTCCCCTCGCGTGGCAAAGAGTCGCCTCACCGCCTTGGAGGTGTCGCTGCCCAGGCGATGCCCCGAGGAATTGGACACCTTCGACTGCGAGGCCGTGGACGCCACGAAGGAGAAGGTGTCCTGCATCCGCCCCGGCTCGGCGCGAAGAACGCGCCACCACGCGCCACCAATGGACGCGTGGGTTCGGGCGGTTCGGAAGAGCGGAGGATGTATGGCTCGTCCTTGATTTTGGGGGGGAGGGAAATGAAAGTCAGTGGGGATGTGGGTGTTGATAGGGGATCAAAGGATGTGAGTGGAGTGGTTCATGTCAAATGAGTCAGGTATGTACGGTATTGGGGCCCTTTTGGGAACTGGAACTGGATGAAACTTTTCCTGATTTCTTCTTTGACGTTTGCTTTCAGTTTCGCCGACAACTCACAACTGCAACAAGAAGTCTTTTGATGTTGTCTCAATCCTGCAATTCCCGAGCCATGAAGAAATTTGGTCTTTCTTTTGGTTTTTGTGGTCCTTTTCTTCGTTCTGGTCGTCGTTCTCTGAGGGTGTCTACTTCCCCATCCCATTATTGCTGTGATCATACACACTGACACCCCGGCGCCCCTGAAAGGGAAGGGTCGTCGGGTGGCGTTGGACTTGTTGCGAGTATGGTTAAGAACTGGAACAGGGTAGCAATCCTCGCCCAAAGGTCCTCACTCTCAGCCGCTTCCTCGCAGTCGCTGCTGCGCCCTGTAATCCAGAAGAAGAGCGCATGCAAAAGTAGAAGCGATTTATTGTCTGCTGTTGATGGAAGAAACACTCCCCTTGCGCAACTTGGCTCATCGATGGAGGAGGAGGGTCTTCCTCTAGCGGTCAAATGGTCTCATCGCCTGTACCCAACAGGGTGTGTAGCATTGACTGTAAAATGGTCCAAAGCAAAATAAACTGTCAAATAAGCTGTCTAAGTGTTTTGGGACGTGATGGATTGGTCGAATTGTGATAAATTGAATGGTCTTTGCTTAGCTTTTGGGCATTGCAATCTATATGTCCAATTGCCCCTGCGATTTTCAGACTTTATTTACAGTAGATCTATAGAGCAAACCGGGACATCACAATGTCTAGCTTACTACAACGTTATGCCATCCCTTCTGTTGACGTGCTTCCTTCTCACCAGCACAACAATGGAAAAATCACACCACATGAAAGCAATTCAGGACACCATGTTCAGCAAGGTCTCCGACTTTGTGTGAAGAAAATGGTCCGCCTTAGTCTACATAGTCTACATCAAGATGTCAACACGCGGTCTTCTGTTCGTTGTTGTTGTTGTTGTTGTTGTTCTTGTTCTTGTTCTTGTTGTTGTTGTTGGTAGAGACAAAAACAGCAGCCCAACATAGCTGTCACAAGTTGCAAGTCAGGGATTTCAATGGGATTCTGTTAGGGATAGGGTCGAAGGTTTGGAGAGATGTTAGTAGCTGGACTTCTTGTCGTTGTGGTACTCAAGTCTTGGTTGGTCTGCTTCTTGTTTTTTGTTGTGTTGTTTTGGGGGGGGGGGGTCAAAAAACAACAACGGGGTCGCAGATTTTGTTTCTAGCGGGGGGTAGAGACAACAACATCTTTTGGAAGGGGGGGGTCCAAAAACAACCACGGGGTCGCAGTTTTTGTTTCTAGGATGTGGTAGAGGTTCTAAGTAGAAGTTTTGCAGGGTTTACTTAACCAGTTACAATAAGCATCACCAGTAGCATGACCCTCAGACGAGTTTCATAGACCCTAAGAAGGCGTTTAAATCGACCATATTGTTCCATTGGAATCCAACAACTTCCAGGAGTCTCCAAGAAAAGACTGATTTTCAGTGCATAGATTGAGAACCGGGTTTCCATCCCCTCCGCCTCCACACACGCCCCGCGCACTGTCCACATCGACTACACTGCCATTGGGGTGTAGTAGTAGTAGTAGTAGTAGTAGTAGTAGTAGTAGTAGTAAAGTGCTTGTTGTCTGGTTGTTTTTTTTGGGGGGGGGTCAAAAAACAACGACGGGGTCCCAGAATTTGTTTCTACCCCCTTGTAGAGAAAAAGAAAGAAGATGTGGTGTAACAGGGTTGCAGTTTTTGTTTGTACCTTGTTGTTGTTGTTGTTGTTGTGGTTGTTGGTTGTTGGTTGTTGGTTGTTGGTTGTTGGTTGTTGGTTGTTGGTTGTT